CTCCCTCATGGTTTGACTCTAGCATTTCTCAATCTGTATGTAGTGTCGTAACTAGGATGATTTGAGAGATGGGTGATAAGAAACATTCTAACCTATTTATGCACGTGCCTGCGGCTGTCGCTTTCGTACCCACCCCCCTCAGCCAGGCCACAAAAAAAAAAAAAGGTTAATCATTTTTATGTTTATAATTTTAATGTGTTATAATTTTAACGACTTTGAAAATTTCTAGATTCCTTTGGAAAAACCGATAAAACACTACACACGAGCAGTTACTAGGCAAAAACGTGTTATAAGGTGAACGACCGGCCTAAAAAACAAAGACGAAGACAAATTCTACTCTAGGTTGAGTTTTATCTTTCTGATTGATCGATCTGTCTTTGACAGCAGTTTTTTTTTCTTCTGATAAGCTAATTGCGAAATAAACTGTACTACGACATCACTTTCTCTCAATGATATTTAGTGTCGGGCGGCCCCGCCCACCACAGCTACAACCCTCTCTATATGACTGAAAGTAAAAATGAAATTAAAACACCATAATTATGACCTCAAAAGCTGATGTACGCGTTCTTTCTGGGTTACGAACTTTAAAAAAAAAGAAAAAAATGAGGGTGGATGCTATGATAAATAACAAAAAATCCTAGCATTCACACAATTTATTTATAACATAACATATTATAGTATTCATTATTACCTCATCAAAATTTTTGTTTAATGGTTTAAGAACTCGATACGTATATACGTAAAACATAGTATACACTGTACGTTGGTCAAGGTGACTTTGTTTCATGTGGTAGTAGCGGTAGGAGTGCTTTCTGTGACAAGCTTTCAACATCATGCTCTTAATATCCTTCCTCAGTGTTTAATTAATTGACGGTCATTGGCTGCAAAAGTGTCTTACGGGCCGAAGTTCAAAGGTCACGGGTCAAAGTAGGAAGTGGGTATAACTCAAGAAACGGCTCTTCATATCAGCATTATGGTGGCTGTTGGAGTAGAAACTTCATCTGAATTTATGTGTTATTACAACAGTGGCTTTCATTGCATTCCTTCATAGAGCACTAGCGCGCACTCCGAGATATATAAAACGTTTGTCTGCCCTCCCCCACACTGTGTGTATGTTGTGTTATAGAAAATTCAATAATT